GGACATATTTTTATTCAATTCACAGTATGTCAGAAGAATCCAGATATGTAATGCTGCAGGGAACATAATACTTAAATTACACGATACAAATCCAAAGTACAAGAGCATATTGACAGAGATAGTTAAGAGACCATCTATCCCAATTAAAATCACAAGTATCACATGTTCTCTCCAAATCCAAGCACTTAACAACACCACCAAAAATCCCTTTATGACTCACCAAAGTGGAAACCTGCTAACTAAAGGCGGGTGTGAGTTCTGGCTGAGGGAGGAAGGAGCACAGTTACACAATTAGATGGAGGAGATTCCCGAAAGACCTTGCACTGACTTGTAGGATGGACCCAAGTAACACAAGCAAACATCTCTTTCTCTACTGCCAGGATCTGCCCTTTGAGTATAAGGTTGTGTGATGACTTCTCTGTTCCCATCTCACAACCTCCTAGAAACCATAAAAAGATGGGCAAATGTCTACTGTTATCCCATTTCTGAAACCTGTGCTTCAGGTTTAAACATGCACTGATTGGAAAGAGCAATGTTTAAGAGATCCCCCACCTGCTTACGGGGCAGCAGCAGCAGGCAAAGCTCATGGTAGTTGCTCACCTTTGCCACCGTGCCAAACCCATGGAAGTTAATCAAAACACTCAACATAGCTTTTTAATGACTCAGCAGCCCAACACACTATCATCATCTCTTTCCAACATGTACTGTACTCATGGTTTTCACAATCACTACGTGACTCACAGGCACTCTCAGTTTAAGTTTTACAGGTAGCCTTCATTATTATTGCTGAGAGTCTAACCCTGCTTTGTATTTAAGGAAACCAAGGCACAAAGGAAACAAACAAACCTGGACAAAAAAAAAAGAGGAAAAAGGAGAAGGAAGAAACCCCACACATCTCTATGCTGATGCTACTTTGACACTGCTAAGCTCTCTCTCTGAGCCACAAGCAGCCCAGGCAGGGCAGAGAAGCAGCTCTCCTCAGCCAGGAGGCTGATAACCACAGGGAGATGTGATAAACCTGCGGAACGGCTGAAATGCCAACGAAAGGTCAGACGGCCCAAAACCCATGGCACTTCAGGGCTTCCACGAACAACCTGAAATAACTGTCACGATAGCTTCCTCAAAGAGCAAACCTCTTGGTGCAGCACAAGAACTGCATCAAGCATGTCTTCATGGGAAGGAGAGAGAGGGGAAATCAAAGGGACACAGGCACATCCTGCTGTTTCGAGGAACGTGACAGCAATCGACAGGGCAAACTCATTTTCACTGTAAGAATTTATATATTAAGAGAGAAAACTGCAAGGACTTCAGAAATATACCTGATACAAACACAGAGAGAGGGTCCATGTGGCACAGAAGCTGGAAAGGCTGGAGTGTAGAGAAATACTCCAGCTGGAGAAAAACACTGTGCTTTCTCAGAACAGGTCATCATGATAAGTAATCTCAGGTGCTTCACCCACAAGACTCAATGCCTGAATGAACATTGTATCTGCTTTCCATCTGAACTGATCTTGAGTCACCCAGAGAAGATGCTGATACCATGAAAGTGTAGCCATTCAAAAAGCAAGCAGTAAGAATGCAAGTAATAAAGGGCTTCAATCACTTGCCCAGCACCCCAAATGAAGCAGCTGGGATCTGACAGAACAGGGGATTTGTCTTGAAGCAACTCTTCCCTGGCTGGCTGGCCTGCTCCTGCCCCACCATGTCCCCAGCAGCACTGCCACCCTATGTCAAGTGGCTAAAACCCTCTGAGGCAGGCACTGACAGCCAGCTGCTGTTCACAGGCTAGAAGGAATACCACAAGCAGACTTCAGATCTCTCATTATATTAGACTGCTATTAAAAACCATCCTGCATGTGGTATCATGCATACCAACTTTATAAATCAATGCTAGTATATAAATTATTAAAATGGTAAATTCATACCCCAAATGCACGGTTGGATTGCCTCAAAAAGCAGAATTTAATTTTGAATTTGTATCTTTTCTAGTCAAATCCATGAAATAGAAACGTATCTGTTACATACACAAATCTGTGATTTGTATCAATAAAGTATTTTACTAAAAGGGTGAAATATTCTAATGAATAAGGTTATATTTAAATTAATTCTGACTACTCGTGGTCCAGGGAGAAAAGCAAGGATATGTCCTGGAATGCACTTTCAGCCTACCTAGCTAAGTAGTTTATTACAAATATGCTTTGGAAGAAATTAATTAGCTCATTAGGTTTAGCTAATAGTTTGTTTAGCCTTCCTTTGACAAAAGTGACATTTTAAAATAGCATATTCTACTACTTCAGAAAACAAAATTCCACATGACAAGTTTCAAAGAACACCAAGTACAAGCAACACACACCACCAGGAGCTGTAGAGTATTTTAAGAGATTACTATTTCTCTAATAACAATTACAAATAAAAGACCCTAAGAACAACACCAAAAGACACAGCTTCATTGATGCACTGTAATTTTTCAGAATCTGATAAAGTAACCTCTCCTTTATCAATCCCTAAAATAATACCACCAATGAAAAAAAACTTAACTCAGGGCAAACTGACTGTGATGAATCCAAAGGGTGTTTTTACTTTCTTGTTATCATGATAGCATACTTTTGTTTTAAAACAGCTGCGTGTTTTCACTTCAGCAGTTTCCTTCTCCTGAGCTACACTGTGTTTAAAAAAAAGAAAAAATAGATCATTGCCTGGTAATTGATCACGTGCCATATCTATCAGCTTTCACATTCAGTTCTCTAAAATAAGGAACAACTGCATGAGGATTTCAAGAATATGAAGGCTGATAGAAGGTTTTGAGAACTAGTGCTACACAAAATCACCAAGTCAGCCTTCTTACCTTTCTGAGGTTATTAGTTTGGCAAACTAAGGTCCTTTAATGACGTTCACCCCACCCAAGCCTGTTTTTCTCATCAGAATGACCCCGCCTGTTTCCTCTGCACGCCACAGCCCGTGCCGAGCCTCTTCATTGTTCAGAATGGGCTTAAGAAATACTAAGAATAACCTCCTCATTTCCAACCCCTCCTTCTATACTTCTCTTGAAGTATGAATCTGCCACTGGTGTACGGTTTGCATCAGAGGAAGTTTCATGTTTAGAGATCGCACTCCTACAAAGTGATACAGAATGGAAACATTACGTTAGCATTTATTAGTACTTCTTAAAATATTTTCCATACCTTTGTTTTGTAGTTCCCTGTCCGCTCTGTCCCTTCTAAATGGCAAACAGTGCTTAGAGAAGAGTTTGAATTAACTTCACAGAAGTCTAACAATGGTACAAGCAGCATTACAACCTGCCATGTTTCCATGTCCATGCTCAAGAGCCAGTGCAGCACCTATTCAGCTCTTGAACTGCTTCTTCCATCTGCCCATGAGGCTGTCACGACAACAACTATGATTACTGGCTCCTACCTGTTTGTCAGACAGTATTTGGAGATCACCTGCTCATTTCACAAAGACAACTCAAGTGTTTGCAGCTCTCCACCACTACCAACCCAAGCCAGTTCCATATTACTGACCTCAAGGTGGAAATATTGAATATGCCACCACTGAGAACTGGGTACCATCCAGTCCTCCCCCTTAAATTTATTTTAACTGTCAGAATCAATTTAATACAATATTTTAGAAGGACTTATTAGACATCTTGAAGTGATATTCAGTGACAGGTGAGGAACCACACTGGCAAGGGGTGGACTTGCTCTTGGTTAATAAAAAGGCCTATGGCAACCAGAGTAAGAAAAGCAGATGTCCTTTGCTTCTGGTTTCCAACAGCCCTGCAGACTTATATCCACAAAACTGCAGGTTTTTCAAAAAAATTATTAGTATAGCCATCCATAGAATATGAAGCAAACTAGTAAGAATTATGACACAAAACCTATTCAGATTCTTCTCTGAGCCATGCTGTGTGATGCAACTGCTGGATCCAGCAGCAAGGATAGGGCTATAATCCACAAGGCAATATAACACAAAACCAAGTGAGAGGCAAGGATAAGAAGTTCACCCTCTGCAGAACATAGAAAGACCCTTCTCCAGCCTGAATGAAGCAGAAGTGAGTATATCTTTCCTTGCCAAAGGGCTGGATTATTTAAGATGCAAGAAAAAGTATCCCCTGTTCTCAAGTGTTTCCTGCCCATATCCAGCATCTTGTATCCTTGTAAACACCAAGGCAATCAGTGCACTGGCCTAGAGAAATGAGAACATGCACAAATACATGCACATAGAGGGAGGAAGGAGTAGTTCAGAAAATGTTCTGTTCATCTTTTCTATTAGCACTTAGAAGATATCTCATGAATTTCTCCAGAAAAAAAAAGCTCAATTCCAAAAACTTCCAATCCAAATACTGGCATGAAATTGATCGAAGTTAATTTCTAGTCTTGAAAGAAGCATGGAAAAGCAGAACTGCCCCAGTTAGGTTTGTAGGAAGTAACTGAGCACTTAAACTAGCTTAGCACTTCACATTTTCTCAGGCCTCTGTAAACACTGGCCAACCAACACAACAAGAGCTTCCTCACATAGTTTATACACAAAACCAACAGACCAGTAAAAAAAAAAGTACAAACTGATACTTCTGAAAATAAATAACTAACCTTACTGGCTACTGGAAGCTTACTGTGTTTTACAAATTTTCTTGTAAGTTTAGCTTTCAGCTCAAGTTCAAAGTTCACATACGTAAAATTAATCTGTCTAAACACAAAAGGAGAAATGACACAGAGACACAAACATACTACACATACTGACTGTGAAATACTCTAGATATGTCATTTTGAAACGGAACTGTATGTATGCAGCATTTCAAGAAAGCATTAAAAAATTAAAAAGAACAAGATCTTTATGTAATTGCATTACAATGTATATAAAATGATTAAACACAGGTTATGTTCTTTGACATTTTTTATAATGTAATGATCTATGTACCATCAATTTAAAAAAAAAAAAATTGCCAGGCTTAATCCTGATTTAACCTCACCCTTAATTATTAAAAATAGTTAAGCACTTACCATAATGTGATTGAAATGCCTGTGGTTTTACGACCTGATTACAGTGGTTACACATCACCAAATAGAAATCATCATGAGCCGGGCAAAGACCAAATATTGGCATATCTAAAAACAAAAAGACAAAATGGCATCTCTCAGCTGCTGACAATTATTGAAAAACAGTTTAATTACAGAGCCATGACACCAGTGTTGAATCATAATTTTAAGACATTTGTATCAAATTTGAAAATGAGGAAAAAAGAGCATATAATGCAAGAGATAATTTTGTGCTGGAGTATAACAAAAGCAAAAATCTTCCTACAAAGATAAATGTAAAATGAGTGATTACTTGTGGAAAACATCTATTAGAAAACTGATTTAGGACTGATTATCTTATACCAGATGCAAGAATGTAATAAAAAAAGACTGACTTCAATTGACAAACACAACATAAGAGGGGATGTTTTATGTATTCTGAAAGGGGTTTGGATTTTATTCCAATGTCATTAAATGAATTCAAAAGTGAACTTTATTTTCTATTTAATTTTTTTAAACCATTTTAAACACACAGTCATTTACCAGGCAGTATTACATGCCTAATGGTTTTATTTGTTCAACAGTGCATTATAGTCCAGCCATCTGCTGCCAGAGACCCATGTAACAGCTATAGAGGAGAGAGAACTGGAGATAACAGTGTGTCAGAGCATGTGTGGATTTTGGAGATAACATGCATACTTGTAGACTTTTACTAATAAAATTAGTTTCTGCAATTTTGGTTTTAAGAATACAGTTTCTTAATGATATATTTAACAGTTATAACTGCATTCAGAGATTACTGGAGCAATAAATTCAGCATTTACTACACAACTATACAACAGGTATATTACATTTATATTACTAAAAATGTTATTCAATAATTAAAAGATAAAACTCCCAGGAAACTGCAAACATAATATGTGGCTGTAACACTATTTAAAGGTTTAAAATTGATATAAGCAAATTTATTTTCCTATAAAAACCCTCAAGTAATAGATTTATCTTAACAGTAACTTAGAAAATAAGTTAAACTTATTTACCCCTGTGCTAGAACTGACCCCAGAGCTTTGTTTTACATCTATTAATTTATGTATATTTTTAAAAGCAACCACAGTTTTGTTCATAAATAGAACACCAATTGTGAAATAAATTAAGTATGCTGCATGCTAAGAGTGAGTGTGACATAACACAAGGTGGCAACTGGCAGAATGACACCATCAGCCCTGTAGAGCCCCATGGACTCCACTTTGTTTCTCACAGACAGAACACATCCCACACCGAACTTCCAGAATTAAGAACTACCCTTGTAGTACGTATCTTCATCACAAAAAATTAACTACTTTTCTCTAGAAAACATAAGGTCTATCCCAGGTTTTCCAAAAACCTTACCAGTGTTACACCAAAATTAAGCACGATACAAGCAGTAACAGCTCCAACCGGATTTTGCAGTTGGGCGCAAATGACCAAGGACATCTGACTCGGCTGAGAGAGATCACAGCTACACTCATCTAAGTCACAGGCACCTTTTTGCAACTGAGGTTACATTAAATAAACAAATCATCTGATCTGCACTTCATTAAGTAGCAAGTCTTGCTTATTTATTTATATGACATTTATTTTAAAAAAGCATTAAGACCTCCAGCACACTCAAGTACTGCAAACTAAGCACAGCCAGTAAATATATGCTGAGGAGGGGGGGATCAAAGAGGAATAATAAACTTCTATTTTTCAATATCTATTTTCCATGATGTAATATTAGGCTATGTAAGAAAACAAGTATAAACTTAATATCATTGTTAGTATTTTGTGCAGGAGCTCTTTGGGTATGCCTGCGTATAAAAGTTTCCACCCGGCAAGCAAATACTCCAGGGTCACTTCCACCTGACTACCAATCCACCAGGATGAATGGGACAATAACAGTGCGCACTGCCTGATATTTACGCTGCTAATAGCCCACAGAGAGGCTACTACTGTGTGATGTCTAACGAACTGTGAATCCACGCCCTGGAACCTGTTCCCATTTCTGTACCTTTCAGACCTCACTGGATTCTCAGACTTTACACCATAATGTACAGAATGCCAGGGGGAACAGTGAATATGAGATAAGGATTGTCTGCTCTGTGTCTCCTGCAAAATAAAGCCCTCCTTGATACTACTCTGGAACATTACCTATAAGTACCATCACTCTAAGAACTCTTTTATGAGTATTTGCTGGCAATACAGAGCTGCAATTTTAAATGACAACTGCAACAAACAGGCAGAAATTGATGTAAACAAAAATGTTTTCCTATTTCAGTTTGGGGATCCCAAGAAATCTGAATAATTTACAAGTGTCATTTACACTGTAAAACACATTTTCAGTTTTAAAATCTTATCTCCAAATGACAGCAAGCAATGACAGAATACTAGGAAATACAGAAACTCACAAAGGACCATTCTAAGAGTAAAACCACCTGACACAGAGCAAAGGATTTGCTGAACACCCAAAATCACAACCTGATTTCAAAGAAGCACGCACAAGACTCCAGTTAGATCGCACGAATCAGCATAAGAGATGATCTACCCCACAGTGGTCTCCTGCAGCACTGATAACAGAGCAGAACCCCAACGTAACTAGTGAGGGAGTAGCCGAGGTTAGAGGCCTAAATGCAATTCCTTTTGTTTTCTCACAGGAGGTAAAAGAAACAATAGCTTTTTATTAACAGGGCATTTGTTTAAAATAGATACAATTAAATTATGTTAGAGAAACTCACAGGACCCTAAATAACACTTGAGCCTGACCAGGCTGAGCACTGCATGAACACACGAGACCAGCCCGAAAGGGCCACAAAGTAGGTACCACTGGGCAAAAAGTAGTACCAAGAAATCTTATTTCTGTGTTCCAACAGGGAAAACACCTCTGTGGCACTGTTATAAGAATGACAAATTAGACCATGCAAATATTAGAGAATAATATACAGAACAGTTTAACAGAACTTAAACAAGAAGTATGTACCAGGAGCAGGTGATGGATGCCTCATTTTTCCTGCTCCCCCTCAACGACTTATGAAAGTTCACAAGTCTTGCAGTTGATACTCTAACGCCTAATACTTTATACCTGTTTCACTTCATGACATGCACATTCTCTATTTAAAAGTCTAATGAAGTTTACAGTATTTCACCAGTGTCATTTCAATGCACTGTTCCCCTGAATTTGAAGATTACTTTTTGAAATACTTCACTGCAAATGTAAAGCCTATGCCTCTCAAGGAAGAGCCTAGCAACCATGATTCATATGTTCCTCTTTCGAAGCTGGGCTCATTTAACTCTCTCCATCTGGGAAAATTTTTCAAGGTCAAACTAAAAATTTAAATCGAAACCTCAAACTTTCCATGTATTTTTCCATAAATTCAGCGTTTATATGGTATCAACATGCAGATACTATTATAAGAGCTGCTAGTCACATTAATTCTAAACCATTTACCTTCATAATAAGAAACCTCTGAACATTGTGACACCCAGAATTCACTTCTCCTTTCAAATGTTACTAAAAAGGTAACTTTAAATGATGCATTGCTGCACTTTTTACCAAGACTAGAACAAGCCCATGCCATACAAAATTCTGAGATAACTGCATTACTTGTTGAGCCTGTAATAAGGAAAATGCTTCTTATTTGGAAGAGGTCAATAGAGCATAATTTTCTAACAAAAAAAAGAAAAACAATAATGGACAATCTGGCATATTGCATATGGAGCTCAGCATGTTTAACCTGAAAAACTTTCTAACACTGAGCTGCCATCTCCTCTTCTCTGAAACACATCATGGAAACACATAAGTGATTGAGTAAGTTCTTAGTATTTCCAGCATTCTCTTTCAGGGCAGCTACACTACAGAAATTCATACTTGTGGTCATTAAAACTAACCATGTACTCTCAATCTCACAATTTTATTACTTAACATCACACAGAACAGAACACACAAAACAGCCTAAAACCTCCTCAGTTAGAGAAAAGGTCAGCAGTTTGCATTTATTTAGCCACTAGTTTCAGTGACTATCACAGCTGTATATTTCTTTGTGTTTTTTGTTTTTTTTTTTTTAACCCCCACAATATATCAGATTTCCTACAAACCTTGTTGCCCCTTTTCAGACAGGGACCATTGCACAGTCCATTTATCCTATTATCTAATAGGACAGCATCCCTTCTAGAAATGAAATATCACCAAAACCAGTGAAGTGAAGATCTTCTCCAGTACAGCAATCACTAGAAGAAGAGGGTAGAATGAACCCTAATCCTGGCTGCGTGCAGAGACCAGAACACAAGTTTCTTATTTTCCAGAAGTCTGTTTACTGCAACTGAAAAAAGGAGGAGAGTGAAAACTGAATCAAAAGAAGAGAAAGCAAAACTACCAAGGGCAGAAGTGAAAGGGCAAAGAACAAACTACCAAAGTTACGATGGCAAAAGAACAGAAGACTTGATCAAAATGCAACATGAATATGTAAAAGCTCAGCAGAAATATTTTTCATGCCAAAACACTGCTAATGTTCATTCTTCCCTATCCATTCACAGCATAAACATCTGCTTATTATTTTTTGAAGTCTCAGTCTGATTTATCACAAACATGTATGTGCTGCTCACCATTCAGTCCAATTTGACAACGGACACTGTATGCTGATACCTGATGTGAAAAGTAAAAGGCTTTGGCTGCAAAGATCCCCACAGCACAGCACATCATGCCTTCAGCACGACACCAACCTGGTTATACTCCCAGAATATTTTTAATCGCTATAATTAATATTAGATGCATTAAAACCACGATGCCCTAAACTATTAAATTTACACTCCCAGTAGATATATATAACCCTTTATTATCTTTAACTGCCCCCCAAACACGGAATGTACTTTTCTTTTTACAAAAGCCTGATCCAAATCTACCTTAAGTAAATGTACCAACCTTTACCAATTCACTAGCTTTTCCATTAAGACATCAGGGAACTGTTTCAGAGGTACTATAAAAGGAAATTGTAAATAGATTCCATTATTTTGGAATGTTGCCAAAATCTGGATTGTTTGAACTATTTACTTCGTGAACCAAGCAAGATCAAATAATG